AGGGATTGTTGGGATCATGCTTGTGATCAGGTCATTGATGTTATATGTTGAATGTATGTGTATGTGTGCACTCGTATGCATACATATTCCAAATTGCTGAAGCATGTTAATTGATAATTAATTAATTATACATGCATCCAGAGTTATTTATTTAGTTTTTTGATAAGCATCCAGAGTTAATTATGCCTGATCATTTTGCTAAACCGGTACTGGCATTGCTATAATACTAGTTTATTTTGTAGTTGTAGGAAAATAATTGAATTCAATATTCAATTTTGTATGGGTTTTTTTACCTTTTCTTTCAAATTAAACACAACCTAAAAAATTTCGTTGGTCCTATTTGAGTTGAACTTGCATATAAGACCCATTGAGTGATATCCCTGCCTGAATCCGCCGTGGAGGCCGTTGAATAGCATAGCACCACACTAATAACCTCCCCTATCCGTAAAGAAAGGTGATGAATGGTACTTAGAATCGAATCTGTATATTTACCGGAACAAATTAGTTTATAAACCAATTGAGCCACCTCTTAATATCTATTACTATATTAAATGAATATTTGAATTAAATATAGTATAGTTTATAAAAGTTAAATCTAAATATCATATATCACATATGATTAATACTTATACGATCTAACATTAATAATTAATATTAAAGAATAAGGTTATCAATGGATTTGATCCCATCAACAGTCAAATTTGGACATCAATTAAGTTCGTTCGATTGAATTGGACTTAAAAAGTATCAGTGGATTAAAAATTGGGAAGTCTAATAACCATCGTATAATTCAAATACAACAAGAATGTTGGTGTTTTCTTTGTGATTAAACAAATCCTGCTCCTCTTGGATGCCGAACTTGCCAAGATGCAATTATTTATCCTCCTTTCTGGATTTCAAGATCCTCTGTTCGAACTTTGTGGCTGATATTTGGAATTTTTTCTTCCTCTTGCCATCACGTATCAAAAATGATCTCTCTCTCTCATGTCTGCCATGATTTATTCTTCATGAATTTCAATTTTCTGACCAAAGAAAATTAGGGGTTATATACTTTCAACATGCGTTGTATTAATGAATACATACATAAGGGGTCCACCGATTGATTTCTCAACCTTCGAAAGCATTGCATAAGATTGAACCCAGCTCCTTTTCTTTGAAGTCCCTAGGGCTGTTCATAAGAAGGTCCAATCTGACCAATTCGAACCGATCTAATCCGAGTCGATCGGGTTTTCATCAGTACTGATCGGTTTCAGGTTGGGCAAAATCATAAACCGATATATCCGATCGGTTTTGGTTTTTTTATGTAAAAACCGAAACCGACCTGAACCAAACCGAACCAATTAGTTTTCTAGTTCGGTAGTTCCTAGTTTCCTACTTAACTAGTCTTTTACTAGAATTAGAACAGCCCTATCTTCTAGTTCTTACTTAACTAAATTGTATATATCCTAATTTTTATAGTCTTTTACACCAAATAGGCAACCCATTAGACAATTACAATTAGAATTAGGTATCCTTTTAGTTCTAGGCTTCTCTATCATTTTTGTACAGGAGCAAAACCGAAACTGACCCAAACCGACCCAACCCGATTCAAACCGACCAGGTTGGTTTTGTCTATCAGTGGGTCGGTTTTGGTTTCCACCTCATGTAACCCGACCAGATCAGGTCAGTTGGAAAAACCCCTATAAACCGACCCAACCCGACCCGTGAAGAGCCCTAGAAGCCCCCCATTCAACAAATGCACAGAACTCAATTTACTAACCAGAACACGGTGTTATTGAATTCAGCTCGAAGCTAAATCTCTATTTACATTAACTCATGAAGTGCTTACAAACTTCTAATCACTTATATTCCCTACTGTGATTGTGAAATTGAACTTTTTGTTCAGGGCTTCGGATATGGTGACAAATCAATTGGCTTTTAAGTTCTTGAGTCTTAATTCTTACGAAAAGGAGTTTTAACTAAACTACTACATCCTTATCGATCATAGGAGGACCTATTTGATGGTGGATGAGTGGATCCACTCGTCCAACTCTCAACTCTTTTGCGAGCATCTTCCAAGTAACTGCTTGAAAACAGACAATAGGAGAATCTCTAGGGTGGCGACTTCATACCCAACCTCTTGAACCCGCCCAACCCACCCGAACCAAGCCAGAAGGTTGGATTAGAGGTGTAAAGTGGTCTATCATGGGCCGTGTTGCCCTCCCCAGTAAATAGTTTGAGGGTTGGCCCGGCATGATCCACACAGCCCAAGCTCGTGCCGTTGGCCGAGCTGGCCCATAGGCCAAGCCGGGCCATAGACCAGACCAAAGTTATTTTTGCCTATTTATTTAAAAATTTGAAAAAACTTAAAATTTTAATTTTATATGAATTTTAATATATACAACAATTAAATAAATTAGTATAATAAAATTGAAAACAATTATTTATTTTTTAATATATTATATACTATATATTATTATATAATATGTTATATATAATAAATTAAAATAGTATATATGGGTCGTGTTGTGGGCCGGGCCGGTCGTGCCATGCCGGCCTGGCCCACAGACCTAAAACCCTTGGTCCAGCATGACATGGACCATTGTGCTGGGCCTAGCATGACCCTCGTGTCATCGTGCCGGACTGGTCCAAAATCAGGTCGGGCTGTGGACGACACGACCCAATTTACACCTCTACTATAATGATACATGTATAAGTTGCCTAACCATTTTCTCATTTTTTCCATTGTATTTTCATTTAAATTATTCATTAATTTATAGTTAATGTAATTAATTCTTAATTCATAATTAATGCATTACTTTTTTATTAATTATTAGAAATAATTATTAAATGAAACTATTAATACCTAAACATCAGCTCAACATGTAATCAATTATTCTAAGTGAAATTTGGCACAAATACGATTCAATCCATATTCAACCCTAACTAGCCTGAACCCGAACCCAATAAAATGGTTTAGTGGTCCAATTTGGTTTGGACCGGTTTAAACAACTAAGGTGGTGTTGGGCATGTCTTTTGGTTTGTGGGAAGCTCAAAAAACCAAAAAATGGTCCTTTTTTTTCATTTGGTATTGTGCGAACTGAAAGACCTGAAGACAAGCACGTGGATAGACTGAAAAAGTCAAAAATTTTGGGGAGCTTCAAATGAAGATTTTGGTCTTTCCATGCTAAAAATAGCCTTTTTGTTGTTTTGAAAGCCTAGTAACTAGATCACAATGCGGACAAAATAGTATTTATCTTTAAAGACAAAGCCCCAAAAGCCCAATGCATCTTCTTGTTTATTGGGTTGTTGAAAGATCTACCTATAAAGACTTGCCAAACAGCCCCTAATTTAATTGGCTGATTCAACTATGGTCTAGTTTGGTCAATTTTTAGACTACTAACAAGTTTGGTTGGTCGGTTCAACCATGGGTTGAATTTTCATTGTCCTTCCATTAAAATTCAATTGTATTAATTATAACTATTAACTTTTTTAATTACTAAGGTGTCGTTTGGCAAGGCTTTTTTAAAAGATCTTCCAGCAAACCTAACAATCAAAAGACGATGTATACTTTTGCATTAAGATCTTAGCAACCTGAAGGCCGTTTGGTTAAGGTGCATTTTTCTGCATGAAGATGCGATAAAAAAAAACAAAAATGTCTATTTGAAGCTTCCCGAAAATAGCCCAAAATGGACTTCACACATATTTTGGCGACTATATCTTTTTCCAACCAAACATGGGGAGTTAGACCAATTTTCTTGTGATTATTTGAGAACACATTCTGGTTTGCAGTAAATAAATTTTATCAAGATAAACTTTTTTGGTCCTTTACTTTGGAAAGATTTACCCTTTTCCCAGGTGGATAAATTATTTTCTAATTAGTAAGAAAATAATATTAAAATTAATTGAACTAAAATGCTCTAATAAAAAACATGGATAAATAATTGAGACAAGAATAAAAACATTAACACAGAAAAATTTCACGATAAAAAACACTGTTAAATGCATTGTCGAAAAGGTATTTTGAATGAATAAATTACCAATAAATGAAAATGGTCTAAATAAAATAATAAAATATCATCCAATTAATTAGGTGATGTTTGGCATTGATGATGATTTTTCATTGGAAATAATGACTTTTGAAAAATCATCAAAAAATTGTTGTTTAGTATCATTTATGCCATATAAATTGATTTTTGAGAAATTGGCTTTGCTACTGATTTTTAAGGGCTGATTATTTTTGTATTAGAGTTGTTATTCAATGCCATGTCATTCTTAAAAAACCGGAATCATTTAAAAATAAGGAAATCATAAAAAAAAAGGTGATTCTTGGAAAAGGCTGATTTCAATAATCGAAATTTGACTGATTTTCTAGAAATCGCATAATCAACCAACCAAAAAAAAATCGCTGATTTTTCAAATTATGATATAGATCCTAAGTGGTGCTGATTTTTGAGAAATAATCATCGATGCTAAACATCACCTAAGTCTCATAAAAACTGACAACCATTGTTGAATTTGGTGTTTCTTATACCCACTCCTTAAAAGAACAAAACGAACTGCAAATTGGATGGCGTATCAAACATTCTTATCATTTTATTGATCTAATGTACATTTGGAGGGGTGATATTTGGGGTCGGGCGTATTATCCTGTGAGAGTTGGCATCACCACAAAATGTATTCAGACGCCCTACCAACGTGATCCGATAACGCATATCTTACCACAAGAATGGGACCCATCATAAAAGTGGACCCGCCATATAAGGTGTTGGTAGGGTGTTTGGACACATTTTGTTGGTAGGTGAACGTAATCACCTGTGTAACTCCTCCTAGTTAAAAATAAAGTTTGAGCGTCACGTGTTGAAATGAAAGGATAGCAAAAATGGAGCGGAGTGGCGGGAATGAATCAAGGTGACTTGATTCCCAAACCTTACTCATTTTCCCGGTAGTTTCTCTTTTTTCGTGTCTTTCCTACCAAACGCAATTTTGGGACATTATAATGCTATCTTCCTTAGTTCTTTCCCGGGCATCTCATCCTTGTCAGAGAGAGAGAGAGAGAGAGAGAGGGAGAGATGGCGGACTGGGGACCAGTCTTCATGGCGGTGTTGCTGTTTGTTCTGTTATCTCCGGGACTGCTTTTTCAGCTACCGGCCCGAGGCCGGTTCATAGAATTCGGCAACTTGCAAACGAGTGGGGCGTCCATATTCGTCCATTCTCTCATCTACTTCGTCCTCATCGCCATCTTCTTGTTAGCTGTACGAGTCCATGTGTACCTCGGTTAGTCGGTTCTTGATAATCGTCATGGACCACAATGATGATGGAGTGGAGTTCGTCCGTCTCGCTTCTAGGGTTTCTCACTTCCGACTTCGCTTTCTCATTATCTTATTTATGTACATTGCTGCTGTTTCATGTGTCTGTTCCTTGTAATACAGCCGAATACTGATTCGATTGATATGTTTCTGTACCTTAAAGAATTCTTATGATTTGCCGGGGTTTGTGAAATCTTCTTCTTTTCACATATTGTGGATACATTATTTCATATCTTAAACTTCATTTCTGGGGTTTCGATTTACAAGTTGGAACTGAGAATAAGTCGATCAAATGAAATCATCAATGTTATTTTTTTTTGGGATTTGCTTCTACCTGGCTTTGGTTTGAAAGTATGTATCAAACAATTGGTTCCAAAATAATGTATCAACCGGTTTGTCTCAATAGTTAGTCTCAATTATACCCCATCGAAATATTAAGGGTACGCTACATGAATTTTTCTCTGCCAGGTTAATGCTGTCATCCCTTATTTTATTATTTAATGGAATGTTCTTGCAGACTTTTAGTTACTTATCTTCCATTGTATGTGTTGTTTATCATACTGATCTCTGAATTTGGAACTAAAGCCAAGCCCATTACATAAGAAACCTTGATGGGTCAGAGCTGGATTGGTTGGACCTTGACATGTTAAGTCCAAAAGGGGATCTCAACCGGATCGTCATCATCGCCATCATTATCAATATTATTGCTAGCTACATAGGGAGGCAAATATCCCTTTATATTTATCTATATTTGAGTAATTGTTCTTTACTATTTTTAAATTTATTTAATTTTAATCGTAAGGAGTATTGATTACCATGGCTTCAGCTATGCCTTATGATCTTGGTATTTCATGGTAGGTTGCTATTTTATTTTAAGATAAACGTTGGAGCAGGTTGAATTAAAATGTGCAATAAGTTTCTTACTGCATAGATTTAACTATTAATTTATTGCCTCTATACCAACATGGAATATCAAGATTTAACAACTGTACTTACTATGAGTTATAGGTGGTATTAATGAAGGCCATAGTATATATTTTGGTGGTAGATCATGTAATTGTTATGTTTTGAGTTTTCTGCATGTGTTAGTAGACCATGCTTATGAGGTCATTCATGTTAGGCTGATAAGTAAGTTGCATGTGTGTGTGCACTCACATGCATATATACATGTCTCAGACCCAAAACTGTAGATTTTATGAAAATCCTACTGGCGTCTTTACTGTGACTCAATTTTATAGGCCTGGTTTCTGTACGTGAAAACATTGGTTATGCATCACAAGGTAGGAGTTTCTTGATTCTTGGTAGTTGATATGAAATTCAGTTTTTATTGCATTTCTCTTATTTTCTATTCTTACCTTTTCTCAATGGGGATTATTCCAAATTGCATTTGTAACTCAAGAGTTAAGGCATACATTCTGAGTGTGTTAGTAGAGGAGCTACTAGGTACATTTTGGGTCTGATTGTAGAATTCTTTAAGTCATTCCAATGCATTCTGTTTGCCAAGAAATTTGCAGAATTTGTAAAATGGAACCAATTGAAAATTACTCAATTATTTAGACTGGAGATTGGATGAATTACTAGGATTGGTGGGATAAATCTTAGTCACCAAAACTATAGAAGAGATGATGACCTTGTTTCAAGATGCCCGTAAAATGCATTCTATATTTTTATGGGGTAGGATTTTATATTTTTATGCATCCTGGAATGCCTTCCATATACACTTTGTAAAGATTAAGAGTTTAAGACAGGGTGATCCATTATTACCTTCTCTTCTTGCTAGTCTCAGAAGCCCTGGCTTTCTTCTGATTGGCTAAACAAAGAGATAAAGTTATATCTGGTATCAAGTAGCAAATGTCTTGTCATCACCCACCTTCTCATTGCAGACGATATTTACAGTTTTTTCTAAAGCTCTGAGGGAGGGTGAAGCCATCTTGGATGCTCTTAAAGTTTCTGAGGTTGCTTTCAGGGAAGAGGTGAGCATGCAGAAATCAGAAATATTGTATGCCCAGCAGGCACTGAAATAAATCCAAAAGTCGGAGGATCTTCGCTTGTTTGGTTGAAAGAGTCAATAACAAAACAAAAGGATGGGAAGGGAAATTCCTTTCCCTAGCTGGAAGGAACTACTTATTAAATTGATCACATCGATCTGCTCTCCCAATGTATATCTCTATCTTGCTTTATGCTCATAAAATCTCACGAAAGGGATTACCAGAGCATAAAGGAAATTTCGGTGGGGGTTGACCAATCAAAGGGAGACCAAAAGTTTTTCAACTTGGCTTACATTTCGTAGACTATGATCAATTTATCTTACATCAATGGCTAGAAAACTGGATTAAGGATCTACACTTCACAGAAGCTGAATTGAGTTTGGTATGATTGCATTGTTTATTAGCAAAAACAAGTCTCGTCTTCAATGGTTTGCCAGCTAACTTAGCAACATCATGGTCTATGTGTGCAGGTACTTGAGAAGAATGGAGAGCCTGAACAGGCCTTTAAAACTGATCTCATTCCAACTCAGACAAGAAGCAATAAGAGTATGAGCCCTAAAAGTTTCCTACAATGGATTTGCTTGAGTTCAAATGGATGACTTCTTTATGAAGTGTTTGCATGCTGGTTATATGGGCAATTATCTGGAGTGATACTGGCTTTTTCTGGCTGCTGTTTCTCATGAGGACGTTCCTATTATCACCGTGCAACGGCCGTTTCTCATAGGTTTGAAACTAACTGGTCTAGAATATGGGGCGTTAGAACCTTGCTTTTTTTTTGAAAGCTTTCACCTTCATATGTTGAATATACGATATTCCATTCACTCCCCAATCCTACATCTGAGGCATGTTGAGTGCAACTCACTACTCAAAAATTAAAAAATATTTCAGAATTATACGTTCCTTGAGCTTCCATGTTTCCATGTCTTCAGGAGTTAGCGAAGGAGAATCTCATAAGATCAATCAAATAAAGCAAGGTTCAAAGTTTTGATATGATTGCTTTTAAGAAATCGTGTCTTCTAATGATTAAAACACAAAAAATAGACTTTGAATTCAAAGTCACCCATGCTTCAATAACGAATGTATGAGGTGTATTAATATTTTGAACATTGGTACAAACTCAAGTCCAAGCTTGAGTTACAGCGTGAGACCATACTAGCATGTCCAATGTAGATGTATTTTTTTAGTATTAACCAGGGTTTTAAAAACCTATCCAGAAATGGAATTGTTCTAGCTACCGGTTTCTGGGTCAGTGGTTCGACCGTCCGGGTTGAATGGTTTGGACGGTTTGCATATTAGGGCAAATATTTTATATGAATTATTAGATTTGATAAAGGAGAGATGTCGGCTGAGAAAGAAAAAAAAAGAAAGAAAGGAGAAAGGAAAAAATAAAAGATGAAAAAGGAAAGGAAGGAGGGAAGAAGAAGGAAGAGGAGGGTGGTTCGACGCTCACCGGCGACGATAATGGCGACGGCAACGGCAAAGCGGTGGCAATAGACACAGATCTGAGTTCTCAAATCTGAGATTCGAGTTCTCAGATCTTCTTCTTCTTCTTCTTCAGATCTGAGACAACTCAGATATGAGTTTGTGTGTTTCTCTCCTGCAGTTTTATACTCGAATCGCTGTTTGATTCAAATGAGTTGATACTTTGACCGTCGAAGTCAGCGGTTTTTGACCCAGGAGCGGGTTAGGGTGAAATGGAACCGATTGTTTGGACAGTTTTCAGGCCGAACGGTCCGACCGTCCGAGTCAATAACGGTTCAAAAACATTGGTATTAACAATTTAACATTAATCCTACCAGATGAAGTTGAGAAAGTAAACACCGTGTTAAGTTTTTATTTTGTTTTTGTTTATGCTCTAATAAAAAATGACAGCTCAGTGCATGAGGTTGATGCCAGGTCTGCAATAAGAGTAATCCAACTGTTGCACCAAGGCCCACCCTCTCTTAGTTTATATACAAGGCGAAATAAGTCCAGCTTAACCTAAAGATAGTAGCAGTCGAACAAATGAGAAGCAGACGATAGAGGCAAATGTATTACTTGGTATCTTACAAAATGTAGTCAGAATGCATGTGCACTGTACACATTTGTATTTGCATCTTTCCAAATAATACAAAATGATACATATTTGTATAATATAAAATATAAGGTTTTGCACTCTACTTTTTACTTCTCCCATGGGAAGAATATAAATACAAATATATACAGTATTAAAATTATACAAAATACCAGGTTTTACACTACATATTTATATTTATACTCTTTCCATTGGAATATTTGTCTTATCTTTTCTATTTTTATAGTTGCTTAGAACCGTAGAGGGATACTTTGAACCTTGCATAGAAAAATAAATGTATTGCTTGTTGAAAATGAATATTGATACTTTGAAACCTTGCGTAGAGGAAAGCCTGCAATAAAATGGAGATCAAACGGGCCGGTTTCCTGGCTTTGAAAGGTCACTTCTGATCTGATATGAAGAATTCAAACAGAGCCACGGCTAAAATTGGAGCAGAAAAGTCCTTCATTAAGTGTCTCTTATATACAACGGTAGAACAACTTTGTCATTAGGAACAATGTGTGTTAGAGAGAGAGTTCCATTTAGGCCCATTTCAATTAAAGAGGTTTTGGATTTAAAACTCCGCATGTTTTGAATTGGTCGACAATCAAAGTCTATCTGTTAGATTAGCTCTAACGGGTCAAGTGGGTTGGACCGGGTTCTGGTCAATGCATGCCCGACCTTAAAATTTGGGCTTAAGGCTTGAGCCCGATGTCAAGCTTGATCTTCCTAATTTGAGTCCAGTCCGCATTGTAATTTGCCTCACTCGGTTTGGGCTTAGGCCCAGGTTAGGTTCAGGTTGGTCAATGAATTAGACCTGTTCATGGGCCGGGCCGAGCTCGGGCTGGGCTTTTACTCTTCATAAACAAGATTTTGTTAGGCCCAAGCTCGAGCCTGACCTTAATAAAAAGCCTGAAGCCCGACCTAATAGAAAGATGGCAAAGAGAAAGGACTCACCGTCGGTGATTGTGTTCGTTGGTGCTGAGTTTGCGTTAGAGAGAGAGAGAGAGAGAGAGAGAGTCTACTGAAGTTCGCTGGTTTTGTTTGCCTGAGAGTGTAAGATTGCATCGGTGAGTGTTTGACTACTGAGAAGAGAGAGCTGAGGTTCGGTTAGAAAGAGATGAATGAGAAGAGGGGTTAGGATATTTAGGGTTTTTGGTTTAACCTAAAAGTCGGGTCGGGCTGGGTTTTTTTAACAAATCCCGAGCCCGGCCCATAAAACAGTCGGGCTTGGGCTTTTAGGCCCGAGGTCAAGCACATGGGCTCAAATCTATGTTCAAGCCCGTCTGGGGACCGGGCCGGCCTGTCAGGCTACTCGGCCCATGAACAAGTCTACAATGAACCCACTCTAAAATTATATATGTATATATACATTTATGTAAATATATATATATATATATATATATATATGTATGTATGCAAATATATATGTTTATAGGTAAATATGTATGCAAAATAGACATATATACATATGTATGCATAAATGTGTATAGTTGGGCCAGGCCAGATTTGGGCTATCTAAGAGGTAGGTCTAGGCCTGACCTGAAAAATAAAAAAGCCTGACTTTTTGAACCTAAACCCAACCTAAAAACTGGTCCAAACGCAAGTCGTATAAAATTTCAGGCTGAATGGGTTCGAGTTAAAATTAGGCCCGCCGAAGTTGCGCCCCTAGTTAATAGAAGTTTCCTCTAATTACCCAAAAGAAAAGGAGGGGTAAATGATTCATCGAATTAGAACGGTTTTGTCAATCTCAAGAAAAAATTTCAAATAAGAATTGAAAGAAGAGAAAAAAAAGAAAGAAACAAGTTCCAGAGGCCGGAGATGTAGAATTAAAATATTCTAGAAAAAACCACTATAACAGTCTCGAATATTGAGTGAGACCCACTCAAAAAAAATAAAATATTCTATAAAAAACAGTGAATTTGTGAGGGATACAAGAAGGGGCCATTATTATCGTTTAAAGTTGCTGGTTTTACTGTTTTTCATCTCCGCCCCACAAACGCCCCACAGCACATTCGGCCGTATATTGTGAACATCTCCTACATCATCGGGAGATGTTCACAATACACGGCGGGATATGCTGTGGGGCGGAGATGTGATTTCGTTTTTCACTGCTAAAATCCTTTTATTCGGAACTTATCTCCAGAAGTCCCTCTTTGGCGCTTTTGTTTTCTACAAGAAATTCCAAGGTGACCGTCTTTTCCGCGTGGTCTGAAAGCCAGCCCAGACATAGTTTCGATTCTTGAAGATCAGCGGGGGAGGGGGAAAATGGCGGACTGGGCTCCCGTTCTAATCGGTGTTCTGCTATTCGTATTGCTCTCACCGGGGTTACTCTTTCAGATACCAGGAAACAACCGGCCCGTTGAGTTCGGCAGCTTCAAGACCAACGGTAAAGCTGTTTTTGTCCACACCGTTATCTTCTTCGGCGCTTTTACCATCCTGATCTTGGCTGTTGGTGTCCATATCTACACCGGCTAGCAACCTCAGGCTCAACGTACTGCTTCTGCATGAGCTTGGTGGGTAGGTTATCGCCTTATCGGGGGGTTTTCATTTTCGCCTTTTTATATGAAATCGATCTTGTCGAGGAAGGAAATATTTATCCTCTTATTTTTCTTTTTCGGGTTCACTCTGCTTTAATTTGTTCTGTAGAATAAATTGAATCATATTGAGGGATGATTTTACTATTTTCTTTCTTCTTCCCGATCTAGCTCATTGGATCCGATCTGGAAGATCATAATGAATAACCAGTTTCGTTGTTGGGCAGTGTCGCCCGATCAAAGTCATTTCTATATTATCGTGTGACATAGGGGTAGACAACTAGATCTCGGAGCTCCTCCTCCTCTCCCCTGCGTAAGGAAGTGAGCGAGAACGAAAACGATCAAAGTGTTTTTGGAGATTTCTCCATCCCGTTGGGAATGAAAACCACGGCAACCAGAGCTACAGTCACAGAAGGCACAAATGAATGGCTTAAACTTAAATGGTAATTTAGTAGAAAAAATCAGGTTCAGGAAAAAAAATCAAATAAGAAGTAGATAAAGGAGCATCTTTTATATTTTATTTTATTTATTTATTTCTTTGTTTTTTTTTTCATGATTTATTTGAGCTCGGTTGTACTTGTACATATTATTAGCTTCGTTCTGTCTACTGAAACCAGGGCTATATATGCTAAAGTTTTGGGATATCGACTCGAATCCCAGACCCAGAGCTGGATCGGTGGAGTCGAGTCGTACATCCATGATCATTACCAAATACCCAACCGAAGAACCACCACTCAGTTCTATCAACTTTACAAGTTATTCCTTTGAATCTAATCATACATACCAGTTACGATTCCGAAGAATAAATGCTATATGTTTAAAGAAGAAAAAGGAATAATCCGATCTACTTTTTTTTTCTTTCTGCAATTAGGATCAGATATTGACTGACAATGAAGTGATGAACATCCAGATATAAAAAATAATAATGATGTTCATGGAAAAGGAAAAAGACGAAATAAATTAGGACAAGAATGGAAGTAACAAGAACACACTCAGAAAAAAAAAAAAACAAACAAACAAAAAGAGGAAACTTAAACATGCTTCAGTGACTAGTTGTCCAGAGACAGAGGATTTACTTGTAAAGAAGGAAAGAGAGTTGAAAGGAAAGGGTGATGGTGAGAAAGATCAACCGGCATGTATGTGGACGCCGATAGCAACGATCAAGATAGTAAGTATACAGAAGTATATAATGGCGTGTACTAGGATGGAGATCCCACTGGTGCACATGTTTCCGAACTCCACTATCCTTGTCCTCGCCGGAAATTGGAAGAGGAGTCCCGGTGATAGCAGTATGAAAAGTATCACCGAAACAACAACTGGCCCCCAATCTGCAGCCATCTTGTTTTCTTTCTTTCTTTCTTTCCCTCTCTCTCGAATAAAAGAAACTAGGGTTTTGGATGCGACTACGTAGAATGAGTGAGAATTTCTTGGTAAAGGATAATATTCCTAAGGAGGCTTTAGATAGAAGAGAATTTGTAGATTTAGTAGTGATTAAAGAGCTATAGCGGTGAGTCTATTTTCTTAATAGAGAAGAAGAGGAGGATGCCAAACTTGGACAGGAAGGAGACAGTGGTCTTGGCCTTTGCTTTTATGATAGGAAGAGTATTCAAAGCCATCTTAGCTTCTTTTTTTTTTGGGTTTAGTGTGTTTTTCTTAGTCTTTTCCTAATTACTGTTGCCTACTTGCCTTTGTTCTTAATTTTTATGGGGAGCTTTTGCAAACCCACCAAAGCAAAAGGAGATGGCATCAAAAAGTTGAAAGATAATGGAGGTAAGCAATGCAAATCTGCTTGTAAGGGTGGCTGGGAATGGGGTGTATTGATAAAAGGCAGAAAGCAAATGCCCCCCATGGCCCAATGGAACTTTGCCATCCATGTAAGCAATAAGCACTTTGCTGGTATTTTCTTTTTAAGTAATGCTATTGTGCTTTATTCTAAACCTCATAATATGCTTTTTCTCCTTTCTTTTTTGCTTTTTGATTGTCTGTGAAAAAAACTTCTTTACTACAAATTTTGCAATGGATGGATGCCTTTGTTGCATTCAACATAATTAAAATGGAGTACTGAATGAATTGATTCGTATTTGAGCTGTAGTTCTCCCCATTTTGTAAGTTACTCTTATTGATAACTGATACCAAACTGTTAACACAAGCAAAAATCTTGAACTGTTAATCTTCCCTTGGTAATTAGAATCATCTTTGCTTCGTCCTCTAATAAACGTGGTGTAGATTGGAATCAAATGTTTGTCAAAACAAATCAATGGTTTGCTGAAAAATGAAAAAAAAATCTTGTGGACGCTCAGGCGATCAATTAAATATATACTCCAAGTACGAGGCAGCTGCCAGGTGGCAAATTATGGGAAGTAGAAAGAGTCATTGCATGTTGTCTTTAATGGAATCCTAATTGATGAATCAATTTTGGGTTAAGTACCTCGTCATTCGGTTTGCTTTCAAGTGGCCAATGACTCAGAGGCGAAAGTGGAGAATTTTGCTGGGTGAGGACCTGGATGCCGAGCTGACCAGGCCAAGCTACATTGATTGTTGAGCTTCGTAGTTCTTTAGAGACCTGCAAGGAATCAATGTCAGAGGACCCGGGGTGGCTAACTCGGCGAGGTCGCTCCGATGCTTAAGATAGTAAATTGATAGTAAATTGTGAGCAAAAAAATTATAAAAGTATGAGAGCTAGAATGTGCTTATTTGCCCTCCCTATGTCATTGGGGTTGGTGCCTTTATATAGGCATGTTTGGCATGGGCTTCACGCACCGCATTCGAGATTTTCGAGAGGTCGCTTAAGTGGTCCGAGATTCCCGGAGGCAACCGCCATGCACGTTGACCACCCTCCGGAAAGTTTGATATGTGGGCCAACTTCCAAGGATCGTGTGAGTGTTGGGATATGCATGCCGAATTTGTCGGTGAGCACATCTCACAGGTCACCACCTGGACCTTAGTCAGGCTAGTACGCCCTCGAGGGGGGTCACTCCTTGCGTCGAAGTCACTTCGGCCAGTGACGAGGTGTTGCAGGTCGGCCCTAGACGAGGTGCTTCTAGCTGACCTGAGTTGTGGTCGAGGTCGTTAGGTCGGCGATAGTGCCAGGTCGCCAGTTCAGCGCCTGTGCCAAGTCGCCAGTTCGACGCCTGTGCTAGGTCACCAAGTCGAGACACCATCATCTTGGCTAAGATAAATTGTCGCCTAAGTGATTCTAGGTGTCACCTAATTGTTCCAAGATGCCACGTGTCACAATGTCATTGGAGGGCCAAATCCGCCCTCATCACTAAGAATGGGTAAGAAGGATAACACCAAAGATTTAGCACAGGCCACAGATTTGCCGGTCATCTATCGTTGATTGATAACACCAAAGCTGTTGAAGCAGAATTCAGTGGCTCAGTGACATGTGACTATAAGATCTTGGTTAAGTAGATCTTTCTTCCTAAGAATGATAATTACGGTGATCTTCATGTAAATTGATATGAGAGAGATTAAGCGTGGGAACGAGATCTGAGCCACGAACAGAACACACACACTCTCAGACACACCGCCCGTGACCCTTCCGAATTCCAATCCAAGAGACGAAAGCGTAAAACGACGTCACGTGCGTTTGGCGGTCCGTTCGGTAGCTTCGTTTCGTTTTGTGTCGATTCCAACTTTCAAGGAATTCTTTTACCATTTCCAGAGTCCCAGATTCAGATTTCAGGAGAATCCAGTCAGTCCACTGCCGCTTCCGTCTTTACCCTTCAACCCCACCCTCCTGAGTGATGTATGTATGTATACATGTTATTCGAATTAATTAATGAAAAAAGATTAAAAAAAAAGGAAAAGAAGATGAGGAATTTTGTTCCCCGTGCCCGAGAGGGGATTTTCTCCCCTCCCTTGTTGTTCTGTCCGTCCATTTCGTTGTCTTTATTTTTGATCGTTAGCTGTAGTTCGCTATCGCTTGTACGAAGAAGAGAGATATTGGAGAGAGAGAGAATGGCAGATTGGGGTCCGGTGGTTGTAGCGGTGGTGTTGTTCGTGCTGTTGACGCCGGGGATGTTGTTCCAGCTGCCGGGAAGGAACAGAATAGTAGAGTTCGGAAACATGCAAACAAGTGGTGTATCCATTCTGGTGCATGCCATCATCTATTTCGGTCTCATCACCATCTTCCTCATCGCCATCGGTGTTCACATCTACACCGGTTAACCACAACTCTTTTCTTCTTCCTCTTGGTCACTCTTTAAGTTTTCCTACTTTTCTCTTTGCTTTCTTTTTGAATGCGTGTATGTTGTCGTTTCTCTGCCGTTTTCTTGGTGTTGGTCGATCTGGCTCCTCCTCCCCCTCTTCCTGCAGTCCTGCTCTTCATCTTTATTTATCCTTTAGTGGATTTGCTTTTGCTTTCTCTTTCTGTTAAATTGTACTGGATTGTGATGAATATTATTGGCGCTATCTTTGGAGGTGTTTTGTGATTTTGTTTGCCAGTGCGCCTGCAACTTTTTCCATCTATATTTTATTTTTGTCTCTAAATCCCTAAATCCAGGTTCTCAATTTTCGCCGGAGAAAAATTTTGCCGTTTTATTATCCTATTCTAACTGATCAACTATACGTTGCCATCTTCCTCTGCACTTTTATTTTAGAGAGAGAGTTCCTTTGGAGTTTGGGCTGCGTTTGTATGAGATGGTTTAACAGATAACAATGGAATTTAAGCAGAAAATTGAGATGGTCTTGTACAGTTCACTCGATAATCACGTCTTACAGTACATATAGGCACTATATTTCTAGGTAGGGAGACGGAAGGATTCAATCTCCAGAGTTGGAATCGTACACTCTCTTCTTCTTCCAACACTGTTGAGGTACACCTCACTAATAAACAACTCCTCTGTTGAGCCGTTGAGGCACACCTCTGGTATATTACCATTACTAGTTGTGGATCAAACAAATCTTTATATGGTTAAAAAGGCTAAGAAGATACACTACTTCATCGTCATATTGGATTTCTCCCATTATATTAAATTGTTCGAAGGAATGCCTTTTATTGTGTTCATGGCTATGCAAAATTTTGGAGATGTATGGTGCCAGTAAGTTTTTTTTAGTTTTTATTTGGTAAAGAAAATGTTGTTAACACTTCTTAAACTATTCTTATGGTTTTGTTAATTGAATGACTCTATCCTTACTGTTTACACAAGTAACTCTATTCCTGTCATTAGTGGATCCAAAAACAGAGGAGAATGGGGGCAAAGGATTCAGGGGAAGAAAAAGGAGAAGGGTGTTCTCTCTCCGGTTTATGGGCACCCTCTTTTCTCTCCTTTATTATTCTTTCAAATTCCGACCTCCTCTACCTCCCCTTCATCAGAAAATAACATTAAATCACCCTCTCGCCACCACCGGCACTTTCTACTGCTTTGCCAGCTTGCAGGAGAGCTAACTCAAGACTTATAGGGGTGTTGCAGAAATATACCCCACCATTACCCAATGCAAGTAATGGACGGTTTAAGGAGATGGTTCTCAGCAGTGGACGGTGTGTATTGAAGAGACAGCAGACGTGAACGCATTCGATGGAAAACCGAGATAGTAGCAATCTTCTTCCTATTCTTAAAATTTTTCATCAATTAGATTTTATTTTAAAAAATTTGAAGAATAATAAAGAACAAATTAGATATTTCATTTTTTCTGTTAACACTTAGTACTTGTGTCAATTGTCAAGAAACAAGAGAGATATTCTAAGACCATAAGTAAAAGTAATAATAGAATTAATCAATTTAACTAAACCACAAAGGATAATGTCATTTTTTTCTTATTTATTTTTTTAGAAGAAGTATATAAAGGAAGTTTTAATGCTCCTCCATTAGTCATCACACGAATTTCAATGATGTCATACACACACGGGGAGAGATGTTATTTTGTCATTGGATTAGTACTATTTAGCAGGAAGGGTAGTAGGAACGGGTTATTAGGATTAGGATATATAGGAGATTCGGACCGCATTTGATCTGCCAAGTCTGTGAGATTGTGACAGATGTTCCGTTACACTTGCGATTGAGGGTTCTAGTGAAAGTGCCAGCTAACATGCTGCTGCTAAAGTCTCTAGCTGGTTTCAGATGAGACCTAGGAATGAGTTCCGCCTTTACCTGGGTTGAGGGTCTAGGTAAGTCTGTTATGAGATCGAACTCGGGGTTGGATTTTCGATTACAAACAAAATTGCTTTTATCTGAATTCGATTAGAGAAATTAATTGGAATTCGAATAATCCAGTTGGATTTTCGGATTTCAGATACTTTGGTGCTCTTACAGTCACAAGGAATGAAGAATGGAAACAGGCTCAAACAGCTATAAAACGTTCTTTGATTTCTTAAAGATTAAAGAACTTTTCCCATGAATGCTTGAATGGAAACCAAAAAAAAAAAAGGAAACAACTTTCTCATAGAAGTTGCGGTGTCTACAATTTTTAGTAGCTTTTATTTGTTTCTCTTTCTAGAGAACTCTTGATGGTCATGACGAGTAAAGAGTAGGGAAGAAGACTTTCAGACCATTTATTTGATAGAAGCTTGCTTTTGCTAATTCCTGGCTGATAAAGTGTCTCGCATGGCAATTTGGAGGGTGGGGTGGGTTGTGTGGTCACAATTCCTTCTCATGGCATAGAAATTTCCAATGTTTTCCACCAACTAGCAATAATCGTTTGCTAAAATTAATTGATCTGAATTCTGAAGATGATGACGACCTTCACCTTCCAAGGCTTTCTTTGCCATCTATCAACCGCATGGACTCGAAGGGGAATCTGAGTCCAAACCTAAATGAGCATCAGTGCAAATCAGCCATGTAAAGAACTCTCAGTAGAGTCGTTGGAAGAAATCCTGAAATTCCGTCCCACCAAAGAAAAAGAAGTAACAGCATGGGTGTGTCTGCAATCTGCATACAAGTTTCTAAGTTTACAAGAGGTAAACAGTATAGGGAGGAAATTAGTGCTCCTCTGCTCCAACTGGACTGGGTAAATATATGAAGGGAAAATTTTTGATCAGTATCCTGTAATTTAGGGGTTGTTTCTGCCGTTAACAGTTCATTAATTATTTGTATCACGTGTTAAAATTTTTTAAAATGTCAAAACTAATCTTCGAAAGAAGACACCGTTTGTTGTTTTATACCTTTAGACTGAACCAAAACATGAACTGAAATTTCATTCCCTCTTGGCTTGCTATAGCTTGGTATTTCAACTGGATTTCAAGGAAAAATTTTCTGTTCAAGGGAGAGCAATTAAGCTCGTCAAAATTTTTGAGGCAAATCGATCAAGCTATTTAGGAGTTGCACAATTCTCTTAACTTCGAGCAGGAACCCCCTTTAGATCACTTTCCCTTGGACAACCAAGAACCAAGTAACCCCCATCAAAATTCTTGGTTGGCTCACACGCTTGCCCCCTCCCTCATTCCCTATCTCTTTCCTTCCCTCTTCTCTCATTCTTTGCCCTATAAAGCCACTCTTCTCTCTCACACCCTCCGCCCTTCCACTACTTTTTCTTCTTATAAGTTATTGCTATTATCTATCCATTCCATGGTGCTCTCTGTGTTTGAAGGCTTTGAGAAACGCTGGGAACTCCATTTTTCTGATGACAACCCCCGGCGACCCAGCCGATGATTTGCATCAGCCTTTGACAACTTGACGTCAAAGCACTAGAAGTTCTCGATGTTATGCAATACAACGTTGTATCGGTTGTCGGAAACCGATACTTGGACGCCTATGCGTTATCGGAATCAAGCCTGTTTGTCTATCCAACCAAGATGATCATCAAGGCATGTGGGACTACCCAGCTCTTAAAATCAATCCCTCCGTTGCTATTTCATGCTTGTCAGCTGGGTCTTGTCTTGTGTCGGTGCAGGTACACTAGAGGCAACTTTATATTCCCGAAACTTCAGCCTTTCCCTCGCACCAACTTTAGAGAGGAAGTGATGTATTTAGAACATGCAAAGGTTACCGAGTAATCTCTGTTACATAAAAGCTTGTTTTATGCCTTCCAAGGCAAAGACGTCATCAGCCCACTCGTGGCATGTGTACTCGGCCAGTGATGAACACCGCATGGAGTTGGAAAGTTTTTCAAATATGTTCACTATACAGTATAGAGGTATGCATGACTGAGCATGATCATGTGCTTGCATATAAATTCTACCGACATCCGGGAGACAACAACTCTAGCGATGTGGCTGGGAAGGAGACGACGGAGTTGACGGGCATCGGCAACATCAACTCGCACCCGCTCGTGTGAGTTGTTAGATTAGTAACAATCTAACATTTCTAAACTATAAAACTTGTTAAATTGGTAATCGTCTATATTAACATTTCCGTCTATATTAACAATGAAAGGGTAATTTTGATATTTTCAAAATTAATTGTCGAACTGTTAACGACAAAGACCTCTTAGACAGTTTTTATAAGTTCAAATACTGCATAGACATTTTAAAATTCGGAAAACAACCCCTAAAATACAGTATACTAATAAGGAATTGATGTCAAACGACAATACACCCACCACCATTACTAACCACAACCACCACCAGGTCCACCTCGTGCTCGTGGTGACATTTCAAACTCACGTCATTAATGAAAAGTCAAAAATATTAGTACGATCCGAACAAGCTAGATTTATGTCAATATCCATAATATTGACTAACAACCATACGTGCTTTGTTACTTGCTGGTTTGTAAAGACAAGTAATCAAATAGGTGGGCACCCTCCCTCCGGCGAACAGGAAGAAAATTGGAAGCCATTGTTGCATAGAAATAGAATAGAGCTGAACTGAAATGGATTGGACAGGAGTGACGTTTGCTGTTTCCAACTTTATTGCTTATAAAAAAGTTTGTACGAGTTTCAATGCAGTGAAGATCCAAATGTTCTTCATAAGAAAGGGGAACAACTAGAAAACCTATTATAGATTTTTTTTTTTTTTTATTTAAGTTATGAACTATACTAGGAAATAGGAATCCCTCACAGTAGTGTAGCTGTAGCGGCAAGCAATGCACGACAATGGAAACATCACTGCGTTGGCATCAACATTCAAGTTCAACGAAGCTTGGAGAAGTTCAATTTTGCGTGTTTGATGCAAAGATCAGGGCAAAGCATATATGAGAGAATATATATGTAACTTTTTACATACTGGGGTTCCTCCGACGGGATCACATAGAAACAGAAGCCATTTCCCATCTTCAGTTGGCAACTTAGCATACTTCATGTTCACAAGCAATTCCACGCTGCAAACATCACATAAACGGCTGGGAATTAGCATACTATGTAATAAACGTAATACCTTAATCACACATAACAACTCATATAGACCGGGGTGTGTAAAAACAAACATGGTTGAAAAATCCACAATAGAAAGTTAGCAACACTGGAAGTAGTATCATAGTCAGACATTTTACAAGCAACTCAAAATATATTTGCTTCAGGCAAAAGTATTGTTTTTCAATTATAGTCCAAGCAATTTTAAGTACAAGAGACATAATAGTACAAGAAATATCACGCAGTTATATATTGCTTCATCTTGATCCATGCATTCTTTACATCATTTAAAGAAAAACACCACTCCATTTTATTCATATGGTCAAATGGTCAGCTACTGCAATTCTTAGAACATTTGAAAGATGCCCTTTTCACAGGTTTGGTGAGAGGAAAATTAGGGCTATAAGCCTGTGTTTATTGGATTACAAACCAATTATTCATAGGCAATTCACTATTGGAAGAAGATTGTGCCCTTTTAGAGTTAAAAACTTGTGGCCACAGCACACAGAATTTGTTAGCATAGTTGAAAATTGGTGGAAAGATACAACAGAGTGGGTGCATGGTGAATCTTCTTTGGTGGAAAGCTGCAATGGCTATAAAAAAATGGGAAATTACTGATAATGGCATTTCTAAATTTTCGATCACAATCAGTGAATGTGGACCGAAATCCTTGCAAAAAATTCTGTCATATCAGAACATATTCCCACTAGGTCCTCTTTTATTCAACCTCTGCCAGTTACTTCTGGTCTTTAGATATCCTAAGACCCATTTTCTTGATTGTTTTTGTTGAGAAAAGCACTTCATCAACTTTAGTTTTAACTTTCCTTTGTTGTTGTGCTTCTGCACCTAGCCAAGTATTTTTCCTTTTTTTTCTTTTATTTCATTTGTCATATTATTTAACTAATCAATCATCTATTTAGGTTTTTTGTAATATAATTCTAGAAAGTTAGGTTTCAATTTAGTAACAGGGAGAACAAACATAGAATACAGACTTTATAGTAAATACTGAAGTAATGCAAAATGGGGTTTGTGCTTAATTTACAACTTTAGTGGGAATAACAGTTAAATGCAAAGAGTTTCCTGCACTATCCTTTGTTGCATCGTGAATTAAAATAATACCTTTTTGGTAATTTTCCCTGAAACAACTGTGAAAAACAATGAAACAAAAAGTAAATTTGGCAATATAGATATGAGTAAAAGAAGCATGGGAGAAACTCTCCTCATATGAGAAGCTAAAATGAAATTCGTTACTTGTTTAGGAGGCTGATCTGGAGGAGGAAGTTGCCTTTATTATTCACAGAACAGAGATTCGTCCGAGACAAAATCAAGAGCCTTATTAACTAAAAGCATGGGACCAAAATACAGCACATTTCAGGTCTACACAAAACCTAGAAGCATCTAAGACTTCAAGTGAGGGAGAAAGCTTAATGCAGAAGTGTTATATATTTTTTCTTTTTTTTTTTTGATCAGTGAAAGATGAGATGTGCTGTCTTATCTCCCTAGACATCAAGCTCATTATAGTTCCTAAGGCTCACTTTGGAAAGAGTACAAATGCAAATATGTACAGTACAAATACATACAAAATGATACAAAATATAAGGTTTTGCACTCTACATATTTGCATTAGTATTCCTTCCAAACTGAGAGTACAAATACAAATATGTACAGTGTAAATGCATACAAAATACAAGGTTTTGCACTCTACATATTTATATTTGTACTCCTTGAAAACTGACCCTAAGGGGGTGTTAGTTTTTTGGACTTTGAGAGGGGGAAAGTTAGTTAATGGGATTCCAGGACATCGATGTTCTTTTTTCAGATTTATGTGGGGATCAGGGAAAATTTATTTTCTTGGGTATCACTTATCCCATCTCCTAGGTGGGCAAATAACTTTCCCACCTAGGAGAAAGTTGCCAACACTTGGACGGGACAAAAATGCCCCTTTTAATAATGGATTTTTATGGCTAAAATGGTCATTGGATTATTTACTAGAAAAATAAAAGAACATGGGTAAATGCAATTACCCGGGTAAATAACCTACCTATAAGCGAACGGAGCCTAAGTGTTTTAGACACTTTGAAGTTTTTTTTTTATCAATATTTAGACACTTTGAAGTTTGAACATTGGGCGAATCGATACTGCATTTTTATATATTTTTTTATTTTTTTTGCAACCGGTTCGGGGGGGTCGGTTTAGGTCTCCTCCACCCCTGAACCGGTCAGACCCCCGATACACCCACTGTAGGGGCGTATCGGAGGGGTCCCAGAACGATACGTATTGGCCGATATGGACCGATACGTGTCGATACTTTGAACCTTGGTTTGAACCATCAAACCAATAACTTGCAACCAAAACGATTTCTAGGCTGTCTGTGTTCTTAGATGTGTTGACATCTACCTCAAATGCGTGTATAAAGGTCTTTTAAACCTACAATATTTATTGTTGTAAGTTTATTTTGATATAAGATATTTTAAAATATAATTTGGAACTATTCATGGTTTTTTTAACTTTTCATATTTTTATTTTTATATGAGTGAAACGAACGGTCGAACCAAATGGTTGGACCGTTCTAGCTGTGCGGCCAAAACGGTTTTGTGTTCGGTCCCAAACTGACAACAATTCTAAGAAAGTAAGAATCAGGGTCCACCAGAACTTGCAAAATTCAGAAATTACCATGAAGATGGAGACAATCCATATAAACATATTGTTCCAATCGGAATGAAGTAATAAGCAAGAACAAAATAGGAATAAGAGAAAGAAAACATATTATCATGAGAAACAGAATCCACAATCGAGATCCACAAATAAAAGGAAATCAACATCCTTCATCCGAGTATATTAAATCATTCATGCTAAAAACAAGGAAAACTTAAAAAAACACAACGAACAGAAAAATCACTTACCAGGCATCTCCTTCCTTGACGAGGACGATGAAGGGGCAGGACAGAGAATCGCTCGACCCAATCCCGAGAGATTCGATACGAACCCAATTAGGTTGAAAACCATCAGTAGCCCTAGAACCCAAGGCATCAATATGAATCCAATAAAAAATGTAACCGAGCCGCAAAGCATCAAAGCAATAGAAACCCCGAGAAGAAGAGAAGCAAAACTTGCTGGCGAGACCTGCGCCGTCGTCGGCGAAGCTGCCGGCGCCATGGCAGAGGAAGGAGAAGAATGAGAGAACGGAAACGGAGCAGATCTAAGGATGTTGAGAATCAGAGCACAGAGCTCGTAAAAAACCCTTGATTGCTGATCCTGATCTCTCATCTTTCGAAATAACAAAATACTAAAACGTAAAACCCTAGGCTTGGTCCTAAAAAATAAAGAAACGAGTCGAAGATAATTGTTTTGATGAGCGCCTTGATGTTTTGGAAAAAAAAAGGGATTTTTCTCCAATACTGGAATCCGGAAGCAAGCGAACAATAATTGTTTTAATGGAAATGTTTTTTGTTTTCTTCGCAATTCTTAATTCTATTTCGTTATTCAGAGAGAGAGAGAGGTGGCGTATTCAGTATTCACTCTCCCTTATCCGAGTTTTCTTACGTCTGTATGACTATATCCTCATACCAATCAATTAATCAATCCCACGTCAAAAGATACTCCACGTCGGATTAACGACGAAGTAGAAAAATTTGAGAGCAAATCAGCCCCCCACATTCAAGCCGTATATTGGGAACATCTCCCGAACATGATATGATGATATCATCATCGGGAAATGCTTACAATACACGGCGGGGATGTGCGAGACGTTGTGATGGGGAATCTGGTGGGGGCTGATTTGAATTAAAAAATTTTAGGAATTATAGTTGATAAAGCAATTTTTGGCACCTAATATCAATAAAAATAATATTTTTAAGGGTAAATTATAAAGATCCTCTATATTATAGGGTTTGTGACAAAGACCCCCTTATACTTTGTTTTGCGACAAAGACCCTTCTGTACTATGACCGTGAGACAAAGACCCCCTTATACTTTGTTTTGCGACAAAGACTCCTCTGTACTATGACCGTGAGACAAAGACCCCATAGACCGTTAAGTCAGATAACGGAATATATTAAATTACTAAAATACCTACTAAACTTCTTCTATTTTCTTTTTTCTGCCCTTTTTCTTTTAAAACCTATTTAACCTATTGTTTTCCCTTTCTTTTCTTCTTTTCCTCTGCCTCACCATCCTCTCTCATTCTTTCTCTCCCAATTCTCCCAAATGAAAGGAGAGAAGGAACCCATTTCTCATCTTCCCTTTCTTTTCTTCTCTCCCTCTTCAATCTTGTCTCTATGGCATACTGACCAAATGCTTTTTGCATAAAGCAAAGGAGGACAATGAACAGAGCGAGTGTTGCCAGTACTCCAACGATTATTACCACCATCTTTTCGATTTGGTCATCGATGGAGGTATGTATAGGCAGCCATAAAAAGCAAAAGTAGTAAGGGGAATTTTTCTACAATTAAATCAGTCTACTTGATGTCTTTCTCTCTCATCCATTGGTTTGTTTGGGTGCGATGAGAAAGCCAAAAAAACATCTTCATCAGAGAAAAGGAAATGCAGACACATATACGCATCTTTAAGAAACACTAATTAATTATTTCGATATTTGAATGAAAGTGGAGGAACTAATTACTGCCTTGAACTTTATAAAAGAAAGCCAGTGGTAACCCTTCAAACATAGTTCTCTAGGCTTTTTCTCTGGAAATGATTACTCTTGCTGAACATATATCCTTGGTAGTTAGACTTAGTAGCTTAAGATTGTTGAACTATTTTAGTTCACTGCGTAGTGGATATGACCTTATTGATCATCAATTGAAGCTTAGCTGCTTCTACGTCTAGTGGTACTAACGTCTCTCTCTGTCTACGTGAAATTTTTCTGAGATTTCTGCTTAACATACTCACAAGCAAGGAAATACAAGGAAAAATGCAAAAACAGTAATACGAAATTATGAATTGCACCTGAAGGGGAATCATAGTAGCCAGAGGCCCAGTATCGAGCATAGCACTGGGCCAAGTATACATTGGTTGCTGATGCCGACCTGCATGCATTCTTCAGCTTCCGGATGGCTTCCGAAAATCGGCAGAACTAAGATCCCCCAAACAGTGAGCAAAACCCTCCACAGACCCCAGGCTGCTAATTTGAAAACCATTTGCTCCTTGCAAGTCAAGAAGAACATCGTCCCTGCGCTTAAAGAACTTAACATCTGCTTATATTGTTGATTCTTTCTCTTTATAGCATGATAGATTAGCACACTTGAATTTTAAATCCATAAAGAACATGAGCAAACTAGGTATAATTGCTTACAACAATGAATCAAATGAAAAATGTGAAATATGTGTAAAATATAAAATGGCTAAGAAACCTTTCCCTAGTGTTGAGAGAAATTCTCGACTTTTAGAACTAATTCATTTTGACATCTGTGAACTCAATGGTGTATTAACTAGAGGAGGTAAGGGATACTTCATAACATTTATAGATGACTTTTCTAGGTACACCTATGTCTACCTTATGAGAACTAAGGATGAAGCCTTTGACATGTTTAAACTATATATGACTGAAGTTGAAAATCAACTACAAAAGAAAATTAAAATCCTTAGAAGTGATAG